CTCTCTCTCTCTCTCTCTCTCTCTCTCTCTCTCTCTCTCTCTCTCTCTCTCTCTCCAAGATTTGTTATGGTTTAGCTTGTTAATACTAAGCCGTCTTCCTATATTTTTTACAGTTGACTTTCTCTGTTTACTTTTTGGTGTTATTTGTGGTAACATTATAGTAGTGACCAAAACAGGGTCACAGGACAGAAATGGGCACAGAATAGCCAGAGAAATAGCCGTGAACATCTAGTGAAAAAATAGTCTCTCTGTGTCTCTGGCAAGAGGGTAGGCACAACAACCTCATTTTATGGGTTATCACAGATGATCCACATTAAATAAATGTTAACGAATAGCCCTTATCTTGCATTCCAGAATAACATGTGTGGTCAGAGAGGCCTGTTACCCAACACAGATCAGCAGACATTCCGTATGGCACTGCCCCGGAGGATGAGGCAGCAGTACGACAAGATCCTCCTGCCACTCCAGGCACAGGCTGTGAGTGTATTCATCTCTCTCTCTCTCTCCATCTCTCTCTCTCTCTCTCTCTCTCCCTCTCTCTCTCTCTCTCTCTCAGTTGATGAAATTAAAAAGCATTCAAGTCAATTATAATTCTTGTAAAATAAATCAGGAGACATCATTTCCTCAGGTGCTCTTCCTTAGTCTCGTTATACACAAAGTAGTGCAATATATAAACTGTTTTTGTTCTTTTTGAGCCCCTTCATTTTTAGAATATAATCAAAAATGAATTTTACCCATTAAACCCCTGGTCTGTGTTCTAGGGTCAGCCCCAGAGCCGTATGGACAGAGGACCCAGTGGACAGGGGGCCTCACAGTTTGAGAAGGCGGTCACTGCGTATGAAACGGTCAACAGGCTGCTGTCTTCTTTCATTGATCATGTAAGGGTATATTGTGGTATGACACTACACATGTGTAGACATATTAGATATTTTATATCATTGGATTTATTTCATACACTTTGCACTATGTACTTAAATTGCAACCTTGGAAAATAAGAAATTTTGGAAAGATATAGCATGTGTATCTTTGAAAAATCTCTTCAAATAATTCAATATTATGAAACTTCATGTAGCAAATGATACAGACTGATTTTTAAAACAGTATTCCACTTTTTATCATGACTGATATCAATTTAGGATTTTGTTCTTTTTAATAGTGTGATTTTTTAGTTGACAATGGAAGAAATATGGATGGATGTGGCAATATCAGATATGTGATTCTACTTTTGTTTTCCCACATTCTAGGCCCTCCGTGATATTGACTACATAGTAAAAGATAAACTGCTATTTGAGAATATACTGGATGCAGAATTTGAAGACACCACCCTCCGAGGCCATTTTTATAATGGTATGTACATTGGCTAGTTTTGGTAATTTGTGTCACTTTTGTTTCATTGATGATGATGATGATTGCCAAAGTTTTAAAGCTTATAGAAATTGGCATGTGTTTAGTTTAATCCCTTTTATAACTTCATAAAAGCTATTGAAAAATCATTCTAGTTGGGATATTTGACATAATATTATGTTTTTATCATTTCTAAAATGGAAATAAAAAACCTCATATTAATAACTTTGCCAGGTAAACTATCATATTTTAACTGTAATTATGATGGTTTATCTATTTTTTTAGATTTCAGAATTTATTACTTTGATACATGCTGGAATTGAAAATCCTCTAATTTTGGCACTGAAAAAGCTAGACACCTCTTGTTAAGGTGTGTTAGTATCCCTTTTGGGTGCTAAATTCAGTTGGTGGTACATATGAAGGAGATGCTATTGCCTCTCTGATCCTCTTATTATGATGGTTTATCTTTTCCAGACAGTGGTCATTCCTTTGACGGTGTTCTTTTCTATGGCAACGAGGTGACACTGTTCATATTTGATCTCCTGTTCTTCAACATTGTGGATCTGATAGCACAAAACTTTGTTCTGGCCGGTGTTCTCACTTATGTTATGACTCAGGTAAGTAGAAAACTTTTATTTATTTTTTTATTGTTTATTTATTTATTTATTTATTTATTTATTCTAGAACAAGGTTGCTAACTATTCACATTTATGCATACTCTACATAATATTTTTGCATATTCTGCATATTATTAAGGACAGACTCCCATTGTTTAAGGTTTTATTCTATTGTTAATCAGACTTAAATTTTTTGTTGTTAGTGCTTTTGTGGCAGTTTGTATGATATGGTTTTATAATTGTTTTTTAACAAGGAGTTTACTAAATTGTATATATTTGGTGTATGTGTTTTCTCACTATGTGTTGATTAATCAGTTGTTTTTAACACTTCCAGCTCATTGTGATGCTTCGGGACTTCAGTGGGAAGAAAAATCTTGCCAAAAAGACATTAGTGGATGAACGCTTCCTGATATAGAGTCCAGTTTTTTTCCTGGACTTATTCAGTTTGAGGAATTGATGATCTCCATTTGTTCTTTTTCACTTAGACAGCAGCAGTTATTTTTTAAAAGGAAACTAAACGAGAAGACCTGCATCAAAATTTGCATTTTATGCTTGTTGAACTGACATTGTAAAGGTCAACTTAATAATACTTTGATTTTACCATTGTTAAGCACTTTGCTTATAAAGAGAACTGAATTTGCAGAAAGTCTAGAGCTTGCATTCGTGCTGTGTGTTATTCATCTTACAGCCTTACTTTTCGTTGGAATCAGTAGAACTCCTGCTGTTTAACAAAGGCCAATGTGCAAATGACTTTAAATTTTTAATTAAAATTAATTTTATCCTTTGGTTTATGAAATACAAAGGTGTCAGCAGATTTTATGTTCTTTCATAATGTTATTCCATTTTGATGCCAGAAGTATTAAGAAATAGTTTGTATCAAATTTAATTTTAATGTGTAAATCTGTGTATTATGTACATGTATAGGACTTTTGTAGTGTATATTTATGTATAGTACACATGTGTCTGTGTAATACATGAAGTGGTGCCAATAGCAGTAACCATTATATATTTTTGTTTATGAACTCTTGTGAACATGATAAATGTATATTTTGTGTAATTGCTTTGGATATTATGCATTTCATTATTAAATGCCTGAATAATTATTTTTTAAAACGATACACTTGTAAAGAGATGTTTGTGTGTGAAATTATATTCTGTTGTCCGTCCATTGAACAAAAATAAAGAGAAACATGCTTGAATTTGGAAACAAGCCATTTTCTTTCTGATTGTGTTTTCCACATTATTTATGGTTGACGTGATGTAACGATCTCAGATTGTCGCTGTGTTCAGGTGGTAGGTTTTCACTTCTTTATACGTTAAAATTTATAGAATTTTATGAGTAACATAAAACGCGTTTGGTGAAAAGATCGTGTTAAACAAAATTTTGGTATTTGTCATAAATTTGCAAAAAATGAGTTGTCTTAACAAAAACTGGTGCGCCTACAACCACTGTTGCTTTGCGCGTTTACTGTATCACGGGTTTCTCTAAAATGTACGTTTCAAACGGCATAATGTTGGGTCCTTTCCTTTTATATATGCCCGACTTCGGCTACTTCGTGATAGCTTCCAAATCAGAGGGATTACACCAGCTTAAAACGCCACACAAACGCTCCAGGCATCAAGTTGAGGACGGAACAGTTTCAGAACGTCACATAAATTGTCATGGTTGTGCCGAAGACCGCAAAAATGCTGCGATTGTGTTTTTGGTTGTGACTTTGTGAAAGTCTCCAACTGCGTTATGAGCGCTTTACTTGTGTACAAACATGATTGTTTTTCCAGAGTCCCGAGATAAAAAAGAGCCGAATGCATTTGCTAAGCAACCACTAATTACTCCATCTGTGGATCGCAAATTTACTCATAAGCTAGCCTGAAATTCATATCTGTGAAATATTCACAGAATATATGGCATTTTTTTTGTTATATCATGACTACTATAATATTTAATGTAATATAACGTTTCACTTTCAAGTGATTTTTTCCTTTGATGTGAAGTTTAAATATTCTGTCTTGGTTGGACCAATAAAATGTTTGTTTTATCAGTAGTGTTTCTTAAGTTTTCCGCTACTGCCCATGTTGGATGTCGCAGCGTAGATAATTCTTCGTAATATCTTGCCACTGCAATAAAGGAAAATGTACATGTACCAGTCCATGTTGTAACGGATGTAAGACTTGCGAGAGGGTAATATCTAACGTATTTTTCAGATGCAAAAATAGTTAAGCGCATATCGACACGTTTCGTCTTGGCTGTCACGTATTTCACATACATGTATTACCAAAATTGGTGACACCCATATTATTATAATATTATTGTTATTATTAGTTGCTGAGACAAGTTATGCAGTCTATTCTGGTGCAGTATGTAGAGATAAACGTCAAGAAAAAAAATACTTTAAATGATGAAGGGTGCAACTGTTTTGAAACTGTTAAGTGTACTCAAGAAGAGCGAGTGAGGTCACGCAGGTCACGTGAGATGATCCCATTGTTCTTTGTTAAGTCACAAACTAGGTTTAGTTGTGTTCATTTGTAGGCGTGTTTTTCATAAAACTGCCGTTACAACATTTGCGTTTTTTTTCTTGAAAGGATTGAGAAAAGGTCCTTTGTCTCTTTGTTTTATGTTTATTTCAAGATGCGATGAACAAAGTGGATTTTTGATTGGCTCCTTCATTTGTTAACATGTGTAGTCGCCAAATAACTAGGCGCACTGACTGCATGCGTACGTACGTGTGTGTTAGTGAGCGTGTTTAGTAGCTTTTTTCTCATCATTTTACTATGTATTTTATTACGATTTTCAAAACAAAAGATTGAATACTGCTATGGTATACAAAAAAAAAAAAAAAAAAAAAA